GCTGGCAGATCACAGCCAGGAGATCCAGATTATAGAGGGAGAAAAGGATGGAGAAAAGGGAGGAGAATGTTTAATTCCACTCACTGGGAAGTTGGGCGCGTGGCAGAGCTTGAGTCACATGTCTTAGACCCTCTCTGGGCTCACCTTCCCTTTCGGAAGGGTGGCTTGTAGCACCCCAGTCCTACTCCCCAGTGACAACGGAAAGCCTACAAGCATTAAGCGCTTTCCTTCGCGAGCGCGTTAATTTCCCCATGATCCCCAAGCCTCAGGAACTTCCATCCCCTTACTTTCGGGTGAGAAAATGACCTTGGAGAAGTTGGGTGTCTTGTCCGGAGTGTCCCAGCTAGACATGAAACGAGGTCTTTGAAGAGGGGTTTGTGTAACTCTAAAAAGCAGGCCCCCAGCGCACAGCTCCTGGATCTGTCTAGCTTTTGCCCGTCACGGAGCTTGCACCTGGGTCAAAGCTGCAAGAGAAAGAGGGAACAAACCACCATGTGGCTTTCCCCCATTCTGATCCTCAGCCTCTGGTGCGGAGGGAGCATCTCAGCGTTGCCTGGTTCCCCACCTTGAGGAGAATGATCTCCGGACTCCAGGAATCTCTTCTCTAGTGGGAGCATCGTTTCATGGGAATGTTCTTCGTGGGACCCAGCAGGCAAGTGGAGGACCTAGGAGTCCAGGAATAGAAGGGGAATCAGGGGCGGCTATAGTCGCGGCAGCCCTTGGAGCTGGCCAGCGAAGTAACTAGTTCACCCCTGCGGGCGTCCACGTGGTGGGTGTGTGGCACTTTCATTCAAACTTTGGGGAGTTCTGGGTTTGGCGTCAGAGGTATGACCAATCAGCGTTCCCAGACGAGAATAAATTATGCAAATAACCATCTGGCGATGGGTCAGATGACTGGAATACTTTTAAAAAGTACCTCTCCTGGAGCTCGCCGTGTGACAGCAGCCAGCCCCCGGCTTCGCGGAGGCTCCGGGAGAGGACCAGTGCTTCCACTGGCTTCTTTTCTCCCGCGCCGCGCGCAGCGCTACCAAACTACCAGATTCTCCTCCAGATGTCCAGAACATCACTTTCTGGCCAAGACCAGGCTTCTCACTTCTAGGCTCGGGAGGTTTTAGCGGCTTGAAAAGAAAAACAGAAAACAAACAAACAAAAAAACTTGTTTGAGAGGAGGGGGCGTGGCAGGGGAGGATGCGAAACCCGGTTCTCCTGCTCTACATCTGGAGCGTCTATTGTTGCTTCCCGGCGGGAAGTCTCACAACCTTACGTCCCCAGGGGTCGCTGCGAGGTAATGTGCATTCATTTTTATTTCTTTTCTTCCCACTTTTCTGCGCTGGGCCTTTACAGCCCTAAGAAACCTTCTTCAGTGCTTCCATGTCCCAACGATATCTTTTCCCACTGCGCTGCGTTCTCCTCGGTATTGGAG